TTTTAACTTCAATTATTTTCTCTAACAAATTTTTAACTTCAATATAATTAAACACAGGTCGATTTTTTTCAGTTTTAGTGAATGCAATATAGTTGGTTTTTTTAACGTTCAGTGACAATTTGTAATAGTCAAGCCATTTTTTTACTGTGAAGATGCCATTTTCAGCATTTTCTCGAGCCTCCTGCCAGGTCAAACCATTGAAAACAATCACAGTATCGTCAGCATATGAAATTACTTTTCCCCTGATTTTTAATTCGGTTATTGATTTTATATATAAATTGAAAAGTATTGGTCCCAAAACAGTTCCTTGCGGAATTCCAATTTTCACTATATTAGGGTCACTTAAAGTTTCCCGTATTTTCACTTGTTGTTGTCGATTAGTCAGATAGCTTTCAAACACCCCCAACACAGTACCTCTCACACCATTTTGTTCAAGAACATGCAGGAGTTTTTTATGAGGCACTGTATCGAAGGCCTTTGCCAGATCCAGAAACACAGCCAAACACTTTTTATCAGTATCCAAATTTTGTCGAATTTCCTCTATTAAGTGATACATAGCAATATTTATGCATTTTTACTTGTTAAGGGTAGTTTTTCATATTCTGACGGGGCTTGAGTCAATGGGGTTTGAAAAAGTGTTGAAATAGTGCTTTATCAATTTCATGGCTAGACTCGATGTCTAAGTATGAATTTATTTTGAATTAAAAAAAAATGCTACGTCAATGGTCGTTCAGGTGTTTCCGTCAAATTGGCTGCCAAGTTTTGGCTGCTAACTTAACACCAGTCAATAATGATACCCTCGATGGTACTCTATCACTCATTTACATATTATGGCTCTATTTCGATTTCACCTGTTATAGGGTGGCCTCCTTTATTATCCAATTGCAAATAAATAGTGCGTGGTCATTTAAAAACTAACATTGAAAATTAAATTGAAAAAATCGTTTGAAAGTATTTTTTTAAAAATAGAACTGCTTCAGTTGAGGCTTAAAAGTTATTCAATGTAGTTTATCGCAATTTGTCGTGGGACACCCTGTATATGTATGTTTTATTCTATTTATTGTACCAAATAATTTGGTCCAAATTTGTTGTAGACAAAGGCTAAATAAGTAAAACAATTTCTTATAACAAAAATTTCAACGGAAGATGTCAAATTACTGAATCACCAAAAATTACTTCAGCAAAAAATTAGTTTTGCCGCTTTTTGGCAGCTAATCAGTTGTAAAAAATAAAAAATTGCCGCCTTTTTTATTCATTAGCGTCCCGGAAGGCAAAAATATAAGCCAACACAGTGGCGTTTATTTCCAAAAAATATTAATAAGGTTATCCTCCGGAACGCCACTGGATTTGATAATTTGAATACTCATGTAGCCTCTTGCTACTACAAACGAACCTGCCAAGTCTCATCAAGATTGGTGGAAGAAAGTGTTTATGTTATGGATGAAAAGCTGATTTTTTTTCCAAAACTTTAATAACACCCTGTATCTTTAAAAAAAAAGCAATTTAGGGCTATTTATGTGAGCATTCAGTCATAAAATTAGCCAAGGAATTATCTCCTTTAATGGTGACATGACATTTAGGATTTTTTCTCAGGCTTTTGCATGGGGTTACATATTCATCTTTTACAGGTGATTACTTCCTTCTTAACATTAGGTCAAAGCGATTTGGTACAGGTACCTAGTTGAAAATATGAAAACTTCAAATTGCATTTTAATTTTTTTTTTCTGAAGATTTCGGAAGGGCTTATACATAAAGCCTTTCATAACGGGTCTCCAAAAAAAAAGTGAATCAATGATGGCTATGGTTTTTCAAATGTCTTAGCAATATTTTCCTTTTTAAATTTTGTAATGTCAAAATATCATGTCAAAAATCCTGACCAATAAAGAGACAATAATGTGACATACGTTTTGGTAATCAAAGCACTCTTTGATTTTGTTTCTTTTTGAAGACCTGTTATGATTGTGTTTAGGGATGTACCGGAACGGGTATTTGGCGGATCCGGCCGGAACGGAAATTCCGGCTGCTAGCCGGACCGGACCGCCGGAATTCCGGCCGGATCGACATTTTTCTGCAATTTAATAATAATTTGAAAGGGCAAATTCTTTTTTTACCGGCGAACCTACAGATGAGCAGTCTATCTCTTTCTAGTACATAGGAAATCAAGATGACTTACTCATAATGGAAAATAGCTCGATGGAAAAAAAGAAAGCGCCTAAAGTTTGGTTATATTTGAGTTTGGCTACTTCCTTCAAGTAAATTGGGGAATCCCCGAGTCTATCTGACATCTGACCCAAACGCTTGTGCACATAAAACGTTAACGATTTTCAGTCCAGTGTAGTTCTAGTTGTTTTGTGTTCCTGTGTATCCAACTAAGTTAAAAATCTCAAAAGTATGGAAGTTTTTTGAAATCCATACCTGAAATTGATGTTCATGTTTTAAAAAAAAATATTGTTATGGTTTACAACTTTAATTTTGATAAAATTCTAATTATTCTTTTTGCTTCCCGCTTATCAATTTATTATTTAACCTATTTTAAAATGTCCGGCCGGATCGCGGGATCACTGGATTTAAAATGGTAAGGGTTTTAGGGTTGAAAATATGAAAATATGAGAAAATCAACTCCAAACGGGATTTTTATTTTTTCCGCAAGATTTTGGATGGGGATACAACACATTCTTAAAATTGTGATAAATAAGATTCAAAATCAGTCCCATTAAGAGGGCTGAAAAATATGAAAAAAAAAAACTTCAATCTGCATCTTTATTTGCTTCTTAGATATTGGATTCAGCTATTGACAGGTGATTGATTACTACTGTCTTTCTAAATATTGGCTGGGTTCGGTATTTGCATCTGTGAGCAAAATGAGCAAAATTAGACAGATGTCTTGGGATTTGACACGTGAAAAAAGATAAGTGATCACATGATGTCCGTCAAAATTGGCTCTTTTTGCTCAGAGATGCAATCACCGAACCCAGCTATTGCGTCAAATTGGATCTAAAATCGGTGCGGATTCAGGGGTTGAAAATATGAAAAAGTTTACTTCAAATGTCTTCAAACTGCATCTTCATTTTTTTTTCAAGATTTTGGACTTGGTTACGCGCTCCTGACTACCTTCCTTCATATCATTGTGTCAAATTGGATCCAAAGTTGGTACGGGTTTAGGGGATATTAAAAAATCAAGGAAAAAATTAACTTTAAACGGCATTTTTATCTTTGTTTCTGAGATTTGGATAGGGTTTCACATTCATCTTTTGACAGGTGAATACTAGGATGAATACTACTGTCCTTCTTAGCATTGTGTCAAATTTATTTCAAAATCGGTAAGAATTTAGGTGAAAGTTGAAACTATGAAAAAATGAATTTCAAATTGCATTTTTTTTTTTCGCAAGATATTGGATGTGATCACACGTTTATGTTCTGACCTCGGCTCTGACAGGTGATTACTACCTGTCAACCCCTGAACCTGCACTTGAAACAATGGCTGTTTTGGATTCGTAACCAGGTTCAGGCTTGGTTGGTTCGGATATGATAGAAGTTGGTTGACAGCTTTTGAATTTGCTCTGTCAAAAAAGGTGCCATGTTTTAAGGTTATAAAAGCAAACCTTAATTCAAACCAAAATCCGAACCAACTCGCAAAGCTGGTTTGCAATCAAAAACGGTTGGTTCTAATTTGGTTGGCCTTGAAGACGGACCAAAGCGAATCGAAAATAGCCAATGTTAAATGTATGTCAACCAATAAATAGGTAAGTAACAAAGTAACCCTTCCAAACATTTTAAGAAATGCAATGAAAACGGATTTTCAAGGGCATTGCTTGGTATTTTTTTAATTTAAACCAATAACTCCAATAAGTACAGATTCTGTTGCCCTTTAAAGGGTAGTCAAGTGAAACTCTATCAACCATCAATTCTATCTACTTTTGTTTTCAAAATACATGGTATTTAGTATTTCAAGTGAGAATTTTTGTATAAAATTTTGGTGCAGATTGCACTGGTCTAAAATTCAAAACTAAAAACCAATGTTGCCAGCGCTTACTTTATGTACATCAATTCTCTATCTACTACCTCAATTTTTAGTGATGTTGTGATGATAATTATTTTTCAGATAATTTTTTTTTGTGAGAAAAAGCAGATTCAGATTTCCAGTTTCCACTAGGTACTTGAGCAACAGTAAAGTAACAGCAAAATTTCACTCATTCTATAACAACATAAAGTTAGAGAAACGCATAATAAAAAAAGTGTCAATTTTCCTAATTCAATTCCACAAATAGGTAATTAGCGACAAAAAGGCAGCAACTTTTTTGCATGTATAATGATAATTCCCTAAGTTGATACACATTTATAAAATATTATCAACATTTTACACTATTTTTATAGCAGAAATTGCCCATGGACTCTAAATTTGTGTAAACCAAAATATTGTCAAAATTTCCCATAATGATGGGGACAATGATGACATCTTGACAACTGAAGATTTCCAGGGGTTCTCTATAGCAAGCAAAAAAGTATGTATGTACACAGCTTAACTGACTATTTAAACTAGCTAACTACAGACTAAATTACCGCCTTATTTTATTAATTTCTCAATTAATTTATTTGGAAAATAATAGGTAGGTTAAAGAAACCGCGTTATCAGTCCCATTTGTCGGGGTTGCCAGTTTTTTGAAATAAAAAAGCAGAATCTTTGAAAAGTCAGTGAATTTTGGAAAAACTAAAAACTGTACAGGTTTAAATGCTTGCCCTAGTAAAGACACCTCTCGGGAAATCTTTTCAGATTTAATTGCTAATTGCACAATTTTATGTAATTATCCATAATGTCTAATCAAATTGAGAAAATATTTCAAACTCGATTTCAAACTACTTTTGTTTATTTTTATCTGTTCATTTTATGAGAGAGCGGCCAAGGCCATTCTGAAACATTTTATTAAACAATAAACAGCAGCGAAATTTGTGTGGCTGTATGAAATAGGTATTTCGCAAATTTGGCAACAAACGAAGCTTACCTGCTTATGCACTGTAAATTCAATTAACCGTCTCTAACTTCAAACAAAAACATCCACAGGTTTTCACAATACATTTCACTAATTCGATGAAGTTCTTGCCTGCTGAAAGGTTAAAAACAAAATGACGCTCCACTCCAGAGTCCAGCCTTAGTAATGATGGCCCAGTGGCCCGAGAAGCCATGACAGGGGCGCCATGAGATTGGTGACGGATGCTGTCTTCAGAGACCAACTTTAGATATTTTGACAAATGGGCACTTGAATGTTAAAACTTTTGATGATTTTTCGACTACTTTTTTCTGTAACTGACAAATTTTTAGTAGCAGATTTCCTTTTTCGCGAAATTCCAAAAATGTTTAATCATCAACATGAGAAGAGAATGCCTGTCCTGTCATTCAACCGTGGGCGGGGATTTCGTTTTTCGTTATGTTTGAAAGGGATTTCCTAAATTTTAACGTTAGATAAATGGGATTTTTTTATACAGATAGTTGTTTTGATTAAAATGGTATTCATATTAATCTCCGTGAGCCAATTTCACCAGAAAAATTGGAAAAAAATCATTATTTTCACGCTTCATTTTTTTTTGTTACATCATGCTCCTCATCAACATCAATGACGTCAAATGTCAATTGTCAGTGCTCAATGTCAACTGTTGTGCAATGTAGGCGTTTCCAAGCGCTTGAGTAGAGTTGTAACCGGGGTGACCCAAACGTGTTCCAAAACTGCCAGAGTAAAATTAAGATACTAGAGCGTTCATAGATTCATTCGGCGATCATCCCGGTAAAAAAATCCTTAGCTAATAAAGGTTTCTTCTAAATCTTTATCCTGAAAACAAAAAAGAGACGCGTTCTACGCAAGGACAACTACACTGGTCACAGGATTGCTTATCCGCCTCGTTTTTGGGAATCACGACCATATTGTGTAGCGCCATTGACAACGTTATCAACTATAGCTGCTTTCCAGCTGACGCTTTTGAGCACGCAATCGAGCTTTTGCGCACGCAAATGCTTCAAGCGCGTATTCGTGTTCCAGCCGTACTGCGCTTCGAGAGCTGCTAACTTTTGCGTTTCAAACACAGAACACTGTGCTGCACCGTGCTTGAAGCACACAGTAAGCAAGTCATCAGCTGTTTGCGCCAGCGGTCGTAGTTTAGAATATATATTTATTATGAAAAATAATATTTAATTTTGATTAACATACCTGGCGTTCGGTATTTTGGTCAAAGTGCAGAGCGCGCTGAGCAGAGCCGTAATCACGTGACTAGCGAGCGAACAGAGCAGTGAGCAGTTGAACGCTGTATCAGAGTACCGGAAATTTTAATAAACAAACGCGAATGAGCCTGCACCGAGTACACTTTTTAAATAAAACTAACGGTAAATTCAAGCTCGGAGAATTCGGATCAAAATACCGAATGCATGGATAATAGGCAAAGGGGAAGATGCAAACAAGATCTAAAAAATAGTTGTTTAAGAATTTAAATTAGTGTAGTAAAACCAAATATGCATACAGCAAAATCCCGCAGAATCTGTAGTGCAAACACGCCTTACATCAAGGCGAGAAACGATACGCTGCCTACGTCGTCCCTGGTTCTTTGGCGTAGTGGGGGCTTGAGATTTGATCTACACAGTACACAGGCCTTATGAGGATAAGCTAACCTGTAGTAGTAGAGTGTATTACCTTGCGCTCTACGAACCATGCAATAGGAAATTAATTGTAAAATATAAATGTTTGGTTAGGTTAAATGGCATCAAAGAGCTGTAGTCAAGGCTGAGTTCGGCTTTCCACTCCACGGAGCGGAGCGATATGAGCATGGATATCGTAACGTCATACGCAGAGTGCGCCCTGAACAAGATCATAAGCCGAGCGCAGATCAAAAAAAATCCCTAAAGGCGGCTACTGATGTACCAATTAACAGGATCAAATCGGCAGGGACCCTGCGGATTGTCTCGTGTGTGTTGCAATCGTTCCAATCTTTTAACGACTGCACGATATTGGCTAGTTGGGTGCTCGGTCGATCCAATCGCTCTGCTCCCCTCTCTAATACCCTGCGCATTGATAGGCAATTTTTCGCGACATAATTTTCTCAAAGATTATGTTCGCTTATAGCCTAGTACTCATAACTGCGAAATTCGCATTTTTTTGACATTGCGTTGACAATTTGACGTTTTATGCGTGTATCAAACGTCAAATTGTCAACGCAATGTCAAAAAAATGCGAATTTCGCAGTTATGAGTACTAGGCTTATGTCGGGTTATCCTCCAGTTGCCGTTTTCGCGAGAAAAAATTATCAGAGGGGAAATATTGGAGGGGGTAATCAAGCAATAAGCGTTTTCATCATGCTCTGGTTCAACCATTGTTTCAGCCTTTCATCTGCTATTTTCACGACAAAACCCAGAGTCAAAAATCGTAAACTAAACTAGCCGACTCGCTTTCGGGTGCAGAGTGCGAAGCTCCTAAAACGCTTCACACCTGTCATACTCCATGCGTTATGCACTCGAACGCTTGAAACCGAACGGGTCAAACTGTAACCGGAGTACTTCGAAATAACTCGGGAGCGCTCAAAGGATGGCACCCGAAAGCAGCTCAGGATTGCTCAATGCTCATCCTCATAAGGCGTACGTTCACTAATTCTCGAGTCGGCAGGGTCTGCGAGTGACGTCACCACTATCAGTAGCTAATAGTGGTGTCGTCGCCCGCAGACCCTAATTGAATGCTTGCGATTCAAGTTGTGCTTGAAGGTTAATTTTTTCGACGATTGTGAATGTAGAAAAGGTGATTTTGACAAGATTTTAACGTTTAGGAAGTCGTTTCTCTGACCTTTAGTGTTTAAAACTCGGCTAATGTATTTTAAGCCAAGAGTTGAATTGTGCGGCTGACATGGCATAATGCGGTAAATTTTAAGTCTTCGTAACTTCTTCCGCAAGCAATGTCAAAAAAAGAGAATTTCGCGCAACTGAGAATGAAGCTTAATGCTTCATTCTCACTCGCGCGAAATTCGCTCTTTTTGCGCGAAATTCGTTCTTTTTTTGACATTGCTTCAACAATTTGACATTTTATGCGTGTATCAAACGTCAAATTTTCGACGCAATGTCAAAAAAAGAACGAATTTCGCGCAACTGAGAATAAAGCTTTAAACCCTTGTCACTAATCTCAAAAAAAAGTTTTATTTTGATTTTAATTTTATTTCAACGAGTGAAAGAGTAGGTTGTAGTGATTAGTTAATAAGAAGTGGACCTGAAATAAAAGTAAAAGAGAAATCTGGGAGAAAAAACTGGAACCGAATGAATTTTTTTTGACAACAATTTTCGGGTTTTTTCAAAAGTGACAGTTGATAACTAACTTCTCTGGTTCTTCATCCATCCATCTGGGTCTTTGAGAGCGAGCTCGGTACATCTTCGATGGTCAAGGATGATACACACTACTACTAAAGGATAGCCTATCTTCATATGGCATATGGAACAAATTCCTTCCTCCCCCAACCATCAAATCACCAGTTGTGACGTCGGCAGCATGTCCTTTCTCGGATAGAACTAGCTGTTTGCGCTACAGGTTATGATTCCGCGGACTTTTGCTTTATGCATACTTGGTTTTACTACATTACTTAACATTCTAAAAAAACTCTTTTTCAGGTCTTGTTTTCATTTTCCTCTTTGCCTATTATGTTAATCAAAATTAAATAATATTTTTCATCATAAATTTAAATTCTAAACTACGACCTCTAGTGCAAAGAGCTGACGATTGTTAATGACGTCGGAAATGGTGACATACCAATATGGCGGCGATTACCAAAAACGAGGTCGATAAGCAATCCTTAGTAGTGTGTATTATCCTTGCTCGATGGTAACCTGAGCCGCTTTCCAGTATGCACATTGGCGCGCTCTGGCGCGCTCCAGAGCACCTCGGGGGCGCCACGCACTAGATTTGTACCGTTCCAGTATCATGGCGTGAGACGCCTGTCTTAGTGTCAAATATGTCAAATTTTAAAAATAATTATCTGTTTGTTTGTGCAGTTTGTTTTTTTATTTATCAAAAATGAAAGAGAATCAAAACTATATATTTTAAAATGTTCAATCTTGAGATATAACAAGAAATAAATAGATAAATAGCCACCCACAGATGTGACAGCTGATAGGTTGACGCGTACGTACAGCTCGGGGGCTCCACGCCCCGAGTAGCTCCGGGCGTCACACTCTCATACTGGAAAGCGGCTCTGAGCGCAAAAGAGAACACAGGATTGGAGCACGCTCGGAGTTTACCCAGTGTAACGCCGAGCTCAGCCCAGAGAACAAACAAAGGCATGACGGCGGTAATGGGTGTGTTCGCACAAATATCACATGCTTCATTTAACCTATCGTTTGGAAGTGAATAAATACCTACTTCTTGGAAATGCATGATGCCCACACAAATTCTCTGATCAGGACTTTAGCCGTGATTACATAATAGGTCTGTTTCTGCAGAAATCACAAACCAGTTTAGGTTTGTAATTTCTGCAGGAATAGACCGATTATAAGGGTTCCGATTTCAATAACTAAAGACGTCTTTTTCTGACGGAATGTTTTGAAATGTTTTGAAACGTTTTAAAACCTTATATTTTTGTGTTGCAACGGTGACGTCATATACGGAGGCGGTTCAACCAGTTTCAAACCGCTCTTTCAGCCTGTTTCAAAATAAACGTTAAACAGCTGATCTCGAAATACCACAAAACAATAATTTTGGGGATGTCGCGGGCTCCGTTTTAAAACGGGGCATTTTTGATCACCACCGATCCGATATGATGACGTAGCAATCGAACCAGTTTTGAAACGTTTCAAAACACGGTTCAACAGAAAAAGACGTCTTAATGTTATGTTTACAAACTTTTTTGTCAAAGTAATCTGAAAAAATAGTGTGTAGTTAGCAGAGAAAAATGAAATAAGGAGTATGGAGGTGGAAGACCTATTATTTGACGATGATTTGGATAATGATTTTAGCTTTGTTCCGACTTCCAACCCAGCAGGGAATCGTAAATTTCACTATCAGAATTCTGCACAAAAAGGTAAAATTTGTGCGTAGATCACGAAATTCGTATACCTACAGAATGGTTCCGAAACCGTTCTTGGGTCGGTTTTTTGGCGAACTGGAACAGACCAGTGTTAAGCCTAGTACTCATAACTGCGAAATTCGCATTTTTTTGACATTGCGTTGACAATTTGACGTTTTATGCGTGTATCAAACGTCAAATTGCCAAAGCAATGTCAAAAAATGCGAATTTCGCAGTTATGAGTACTAGGCTTTAGATGGGTTTCCAAGGAGTTGGAATGAGAGGGAAAATTATTTTGAAGCTCTGGATGATTTTAAATTCTTTCGTCGGTTCCAGTTTCTTTCGTCGGTTCCGCCTCACGAAACCGTGGTGGATCTTCTAGAAGAGGTTGAAGATGCCCTATCCTATGATAAATATAAGGTGTAAGTAAATTCTATGCAACTTTATGGCTTGAATCCAATAACTACCTATCCTCATAAGGCCTGTGTGGAACAGATCTGAAGCCCCCTATCACGCCAAATCACCAGTTGTGACGTTGGCAGCATGTCCTTTCTGGCCTTAACGTAAGCTGTTTGCACTATAG